TATAGCATGTTCAGAATGATTAAATTCAGGGCCATTATTGCTGTTTTTAGACATTCATTTGTAAAGAATGAATTCTGTTCATAAGCTCTTATAAATCTCAGTATTTCATTTATAATTCGCAGTATGCTGTAAACAAAGATCAATCAATGTAACTAGTAAATAAATAGCAGTTAAATATTTAGAAAATTATAATAATTTAATATTTAGAAACTATAATAGTAATATTTATCAAAGCTATAAAAAGTTACATTCATTATTAATTATTGTTATTACAAAGTGTGTGTGTGTGTGTGTGTGTGTGTGTGTGTTTGGGGTCCACACGTGCCTTGTGTTACAAAAATTAACAAAACACACACACACGATTAACAAACAGTACGACAGTATACCTCTAAACGCATGTACGAGATCACACTCCATTTTGTGTTTGTATCGTTTTTAATATGCAATCATTTTAAGCACTGTAAAATGTAAGTATATAAAAAAAAATTAATTGTTTAATAATTGAATAAAAATAAATAATGTTTGCTTACTGATTGTTGTTGATTTGTTTATTTGGATTGATGGTAGTTCAATTAATTTTGCAATCATTTATTGCAATTACTTAACCATTTTTTTACTCAGTATTATGTTATTTGTGTAAATTCTCACAAACAAATCTTTTGGTTGCATTTCACTGCAAAAAATTATTTCTTTTGTAATGCATCTATTTTTCACTATTCCCACTTTTGATTCTCATTGCTGTAATAAAATTTGTTTTGCAGATGTTTTACTGTTATTATATGCTACAATACAATGTTTATTTTTTCTTTATTCATATCACAAATTAAAGTTAGTATAACAAATGCTACTCTTGTGTATGAATATATCATTTTTTTTTCTTTAAAATTATAGTAATGAGAATATAAGTGGAAAATTACACAAATATAATGTGAAAATAATGTCACAATGATTCAAAAAATAATTTATTTATAAATAATGAATAATGCTTTTATTATAAGAAATTTATTTTTATTGATTTTGAGGTGAAATAAGATACTATATATATATATATATATATATATATATATATACATCATTTATTAATCTTAATGTTAATTTCAACATTTTCTAATGCATTATTAAAATCAAAAGTTGTTCTTGTTAACATTAGTTAATGTACTGTGAATTAACATTAACAATGAACGACTGTATTTTCATTAACTAACGTTTATTAAGATTAATAAATACTGTAATGTATTGTTCATTGTTTGTTCGTGTTAGTTGATACATTAACTATTGTTAACAAATGACACCTTATTGTAAATTGTTACCTTTTTTATATATTTTCTGTTTTCATTTTAATTTTAGTAAGTTTCAGTAATTTTGTTGTATGTTTTTGTCATTATTATTATTATTTTTAATGTTTTTTTATGTCTAGTTTTCATTAGTTTTATTTCAGTTGTAGTTATTTTGGTGCATTAAGTTAAACTAAATAAAAAGTATAGAATGAAAATTTTTAAATGGTGCCTTGGCAACTAGCTAAAATAAAATAAGTTTATTTTATTTCAAGTAGTTTATTTTATCGTTTTAGTTTAAGTGAACCTGTTGTGAACACATCTTGCTCGTAGTTTTTGCAGGCTTGTTTATTGGAGACATTTGACTGAAGTATTAAACGGCAGGTCTTTGAGTGAACATCAGAGAATGAGGGGTGGGGGGGAGAAGATAAACCGTTTAGCTGAAGGACTCTTCTCTGAGCTAAATGAGGTCGAGTGCTTATTTGGACGGCGTCCATGAACTAAAATGATCGAACGCGCCGACATCACATCACATCCACTCCTGCAGCAGCGGCCTGTCGGGTCAGGGCATCTCTATCGCCATGGCGATGGAAGCGGTTGTCATAGCGCCGCGGGTGCCGGGAGACCCTTCGTACTGCTGTGATGCCATTCGCTGCGAGCACAAACACACGTGCAGGTGTTGAGTTCCTCACAGGAGTTCATTCTGTCCAAACACACTCAACATGAGCTGCTGTTCTGCGGCTCTCAGTGTTTGTGCTGCTCTCCTTCAAGGAAACCATGCTAGAGTTGATATTTTCATTCAAATGCAGTGACATTTCAGAGATTTTTAAGTGTCCATATACTTAAAATACACGGGGCTTATTGCTTTTATAACACAGTTATTCCATATACGTAGTTAGGTTTCACAAAATAAAACAGAGCAAATAAAGTGTAATGATATTAATAAAAACAGTATTCTTCCACCAAACAATGTAGCTCCTCAGAAACAGTTGTGGTTGCTACAAAGTGGTTGCCGAGCAACACACAGAAGTAAACAAAGGTGTATGTTACTTTGAAGAGTCATTTACAACAGCTTCGAACACGGCTCAACCAATCAGAATCAAGGACCGGAACTCCGTTTTATAATCAATATTAAATTATAATGTTACATCTTATATACACCTTCAAATATCATCTTCAACAGTATCTATATATCATTTTTTTACACATATAAAATAATTTAGCACTACAATTAGTTATATATAT